GGTCCAAGTTTTTGCTCCCCCTGAGCTCCCTGGGAGCAAAAATGTGGACCGTTTGTGGGTCCTCAAGGATCGGATTGGGAAACACCGTTCTAGAGAATTCTGAGATCTTCAGGGAGCCCTAGAGGAACAGCACGGTATTCCACAGGAGCTCTGAGCTGAGTCATGGGAGCAGATGAGCAGGCGACTCGACGGGGGACTCGTTGGGGCGGTGGGAAGACATGGCAAAAACCCCAGCACACCAGATGCCCTTGCCCCGAGCCTGTCAGAACTGCACTGGAAGAACCAGCATCCCCACTACAATTACAAAATCTGGTCACAAAACCAATAGGGGTGAAGCTGGAGAAACCAGGAATGAATTTCCGATAACTGGCATTCCTGTGATCCACATTCTGCTTAGGCTGCCACAGTAATTACATTATCAACTTATCGCACAATATATGGACATAACCTCAATAATTTTTGTTTTACCTCGACACTGACAACTTGGGTTTACATAAGAATGAATGCCCCGAACATGGAAGCTGTTTCTTTCCTCTCATCTGCTCTCTGTTGCTGGTGCGGTTCAAGGTCAATTCATACTTCAAATAAAGTGTTCATGCCGTAGTGCACGCGGTACAGTGCCGCACCATCTGCAGCCCCGAATGTTCATACTTCTACTGCCAGTGCACCAGGAAAAGCTGCTATTAAGACATGTTTATGAAGTGTGGTATGGATATTATAAGAATAAATAAGAATTCACTAAAACTGACCACGCACTATGTACTTACAGTATGCAAGGCAGGATTATAACCATTAATGAAAACATTTCCACAAAGTGAAATAAGACACTAAAATAAAAACTATAACTAAATGACAACTATAAATATTGGTTCTGAAAATAATATATAAAATAAAATGTCAAATACTTCCCGTTACTGTTTTTAAATACGAACTAGCTAAACTAATGATTTGTTTATCTTTAGGCGTCTCATGCAATAAATTAGCTGGTTACTACCAGCTAAGTCCTGTAACTTTCCGTCTATCCCTAGAAATAAAAATACCAAAACCTAAAGTATATAACTAAGTAGATTCACATCTTTAAAATAAGGAAACGAAAGAAACCTAAAACTGAAATAGATTTCAAATAAAAATAATAGAGAAACTAAAACTAAAAAAAATCCAAACGATAGCACTTATGCAAAAACATACATGGGTATATGCAAAAAGCCATGCAAAAATGCAAAGCTTATTCGTCAACATTGCAGCCAATCAGCACTCTGAAACATAGAACGGCAGAGCAGCATGTTGGCGCTGTCAAAATCAGACACGCAGAACTATGGAGCCTCCAATTCCCAACAGAGCTTCATGAGCTCAATTTGTTAGCTGCGAGGCGCTGTCAAGAGACCAAGTTCAGCTGACCTGAACACAGATGACCCAGACTGAATTAAGGCCTTACTGGACACATCGTTTTCAAGCAAATAATTAGGGTAGACACAGTACGATATATGATAGCGACACCTATTTTCAAGGCAGGAAGGACAAACTCAAATAAATCCTGTGTTCTGAGCTGATTAATGGACCGTCACAACAACCAGCTCTTCTACCGAGCCATTTCAAAGGGTCAAAGTGTTAAGCACCAGCTCATCATCAGTTTCTGACCTCAATGTCACCAGATTCCATCCCAATAAAGACGCTTTCGTAATCCCCAAAGGCACTTAACTAGAATTACACCAGCAGAATATGAAGCTATATAGATGAGTAAAGACAAGGTCGCTCACTTAGCATTTAACCTAACCATCAAAACCCGACGCTTTACACAAAGACATGCGTATATTTTTACATTTCTATTGCAGCCGAGTAGCTTTCATATATGCAGCCAGCAAGTACTGCAGCCCAACGTGTACCAATCATGTTGAAAAACGTAATCCTTACATTATGCCGATTAATCATTCTTATATTGACGATACCAGCCTTAAAGGCATCAAAAAAAACTTTAATCCCGATGGAATATTGTCCTATCCTGCCAGTCAGACTGGCATTCAGGAAACAAAATTAACAGACTTATAAAAACGGGTACTGAAACCAGCGTTTGGACTGCCACGTGTTTCATACAAAGTGCCCACATCCACATTAAAGTCAGACGCACGCACGCACTACACCTGACTAGGTGTCATCTGGACATTATACCGCATGAACCTGAATTACAGTAAGGAAGGAACTGATATGGGGAGTTAAAAAAAAAAAAAAACCTGGTGCCCTTCATGCATGCAGTGGTGTAGAGAATAAATTAGTTTAAGGGCAATAAAAGGCACGGATACATTTCATGCAAGGGTTTTGCATACAAGAAATACAAGCATATTGGCAGATTCCCTTCAAATTTAAACGCACACAATTAAAAATGCAACACTGATACATGACAGGCCATGGATTCAGTAAGAAGTCGTCTCTGCAGTTAACTGGTCTGACAGAATTAGTGATATAAATGATCCGCTTTACAGATACCTTATGTTAATGTGATTAACGGTGGAAGCTGGTATGAACATCCGATTACCTGAAGCTGTCGCAATAACCAGCCCTCAAATAACTAACTTAGAACCTCACCTTTCACATATAAGCTACATCAGTCTGACTAAGACAGATAATAAAAGTAAACAAATAGGAGACGTGAGGCAGAGGACATTCTATTTTGCTGACAGTAATCTGCTTGAAAGTTACCTTTAACCGGCCGAGATGTCGGCTGGATCGGTTAGTACAGAAACCGGTGTCCTTTAACCAGACAGGCTCACTAACCCAAATGCAATAAGTCACCAGAAAAAGCAGCTTTGGGGGATTAAACACACGGTTTGTATAGCCAGCTGTGCGTATACTTATCGCAGGTGTCTGCTGGTCGAACACTTCTAATTGCTCCACTTTCACTCCTGACAGTCAGATTACTAGCAGTCGGTTAACCTCGTTACCAGCCCAACCCGCTTTTTAAAGTGTGTTTTAGCGGCCGAAACACTTAAACTCACTTTTGGACATTATACTGTACGCCGCTTCTTCGTCGAGCAGCCGGCGGCTCGGCGTAGCAGCCAGCTAGTTAAAGCTAGTTAACAGACACCTAGTCCACAGCCAGGAACACGCTCCTTGTTAACTCGGCCAGGAGTTAGTTAATAACTGTTTAAGATGAGTAAGTGGCGACTTCCCGTAAGTTTGCATCGCTGTAAAACAAGCGGAGGCCGAGCGAAACCGCCCGCTTTCCTCCGCCTGCACGCCGCTCTCAGAGCACCCCTGCCGCGTCTCTTACTCCTCAGCGCAGTTTTTTTTTTTTTTACTTTTATCGCCAAGGCGCCCCTCTCCGCCTTGGCTGATAACTCGGACGGCCGACATGCGCCCTTACCTTTGCCGTCCCGGCCGACATGCAGCTGTGTCTCCGTCGCTCACATTCGTACCTGACCCCAGCCGGCGTGGCTCCCGCCGCTTACAGCCCAGAGATTCACGTTACTCATTCTTTATAAACACAAATGACGTGCGTCTCTTTACTGCCGCATCAGTCTTATCTACCTCCCGTATACAGACGCCAGCTTTCGTCAGGCTTTACCAAAAATCACCGGACTGGGCACACATGACATAAAGCCAGCTGCCACTGAGGAGGGGGTTAGGTGTCCCTCCTTACTTAAAATAAGTATATAGTATTAATGTTATTTCTCCGCAAGCGTTAGAAAAAATAGGAAAACAATACATTAATTGTTTATTTCTTGGCCATTGGACAATAATACTGTGCCCAACCTAATCATAGAATGAGCTACAATTCATGTACTCATTCAAACGATTCAATTCATTTGAATATTTTCTAGTACTACGGTTCCAGGTTTATGAACCAACACAGCCACCTTATGCATATACACACACCTATGACATTCTTCTTTGAGGAACTGCGTCTTGAAACCGATAGCAAATACTGCTACATGATCATGTCACAACAGCTTACAAAACACTGTTTATTTAGAGGTTGGTTGGTTTGGGGGGGGGGGTGGTGGTGGTGTGGGTTTCAACATATCGAAAGATTCTGCAATACTAGGGTTGAGAGTTGGTTTATGATTTAATTTGGTTTTAAGATCCCATAAATGGGATGGGTTTGCTGAATAACAGCAAGTGTTTTATGCTTAACCCTGACCAGAAACACTATTTTGAGACTAGCAACACAGAATTTACCACAATCCACCAACAATCCACCTCTAAATAGGGTACACACCATTGTCCATCTGCCCGCTGGAAGGACACAAAACCACAAATAAGTGTGTATGTCTTTATTAAGGTTCTCAAATTATAAATAATGAATTAGCACAGTGGATCAGAGGCGACAAGAGTGGCTTCATATCTCCTGAGTTGTGGGTTTTATTCCTGTGTATTGAATTTCCATGTTCCTCGCATGTTCCTGCAGTTTAGGTGGGATAGACTGCAGGTCATCGATGACCCTAAGTAAACAGCTATGAAAAATAGATGAATGGGAAGATAATGAATTAGAAGGTAAAAGTCATGAGCGCTATGAATGTTCGAAATATAACACATTGCAGAGTAACAGCTTGGTTCAGCCAGCTTGGACAGTGAAACTCCTGACTCACAGATAAGCAGCTACCAATAAGGTCTTTGTGAATTAAGGTAATTTATGGCCACTCTTGCATTGCCTCTCATGTAATGGAACCTCAGAAACTCAGCATCCGTCCTCCTTGAAGCTGACAAACCTAGAACAGCATAGAATTTGCGTGACAGTCTGTTTCCTTTGTGTACGTTCCCAGACTGGCATGCCGCGCAATAAACCAGATCGACTATAAGATGTTGAACAGTTGACCAAACACAGCTCTAATCTGACATCCAAGGCTCAGATTCTTAAAAGATACATTTGTAATGCGTGATGCTTGTTTGACATCTTTTTGTCTGGCACACAGAACGAAGTCAAATCAAGCCAAAATGCACAAGTTGCTTTCTCTTGAGAAATTTAATGAAACGTGTTGATTAAACTTCACTTTGTTGCACAGCAGGAAGTTGCACAGGAAGTTTAGTGATAAGGCAACTACCGTTTTCAGTAAGACTAAGAGCTAGTGAAATAAAGTAAAATGTCCGACGAAGAAACGTCGGTCTGATTTCATCAGCCATGGTTGTAAATTAGAATATAGAGGATTTATTAATCCCGTCCTGGAATTAAGTAACAGAGAAATATATCAATGGAGTTGGTCATGACTGTTGATGAGCCCACGTGTTGCTGCTATGGAATATTCCCCGCTGATAAAACTACTCATCCTGCTGTTGGTGACCTTCATCGTGTGTCTCCCGGAGCTTTTCCCACCATACCAAGGTACGTGGCACAAAGTAGATTGATGGTACTCATATGACCATACGAGACTTCATGTTTGATTGGACACACAGAAACACATTGATATGTTGTATTTAACAAGCAGATCTTCTTGCTAGTCCAGGAATCCATGCCTTCCTCTTCATGACAGATTGGAGTAGCAAACCTAACCAAACCTGATCTGAAGAACTTCACTATCGCATCGCTATTGGTATCTTGGCTATATAGCTCACTGAGCATTGTCTGATAAGTGACGTTTAGGAGGTCTCGCTTGTATCCATTTCACATTGATATCTAACTACCATGTCATTATAAAAACTCTTGACAAAAATAAATCACTTTGAAGCCAACAGTGACAGACTAAGGAGGTCCTGAAAACAAACATTACGTAATTAATTTTTTTGTCACTATTTTCATCTGCTTTGAAATACATTCTGATTAATATAGTAAAACTACAAATACAATAATCTGTAGATTAAAACAGAATTAATTTTCATTTCAGATGAATGTCAAAATAAACATTTAAAATAAGTATCTACAAGCCCAAATAAGATTTTCTCAGATATTTATACTGAGCATTCACGGACATACATTTTCAAAATTACTTTTTTTATGGCACAGAGGATGTGAGTTGCCAGTGATTTGCTTTTACAAATGATTCTGCTTTGTGGAATTACATTGTGTTATTTGGACTGGCAGCCAATACGTATGAAATACTCCCAATTTGTCACTGTATAAAAAATATGATTCAGGCAAACACGGTATCTGGTTCAATTTAGATCAAAAGAAATGACAGTTTTTAGCCAAAACACTTAAAATGGGCTAAAAAGTGAAATCCAACCTACGAAAACAGCAAAAACAATTTGCGCAACACTGTCCCCTCATGGTCATTAATCAAAACTGCAGGGGCCCTGAGTTATCTCCAGCGCTGCTGTGGTTCACTGCTGCCAGTTTAATGTTAATAACGTTCATCAAGAATTCTCACGGCCAATGCAGAGTATTTAGGCCTTAGGGGTGTTTAAACATTCTGTGTCACATTACCATGATGCAGGAGAGCCAAACACGACTAAGATATCAGGATGTTTACTCGACAGAATGCATAGTGATCAGCGCAAAAGGATTCTGAGGGCTGTTTGCAAAGTCTCTTCTGTCCAGTAATATTTTATCTGCAAGTTTTCTAGAATATCTCCATTTTTTTTGTATCATTCATCCATCTAAACGCAGTTCAGGGGAGAATAGATCTTACTTGCATGGGATTCCAACCCTGTCTGAAGCAGAGGCACCGTGAACTGGTGTGCCCTCCCAACACAGAGGACACAGGGCACAGGAATGAGTGCCTGGGATGTACCAACAGCAGCATCATGGGGGTGTCGCCCGGCGTCACCTCCGGAAACACAAACGGGTCAGACAGTCCAGAGACAGGCTGGTCCAGGTGTGAGATCACAGCAGACCTGGAGGCCCTGAAATGGACAGGTGAGGTCACCGCCTCCTGTAGATCACCATTAGCTAGGCCAGCTAGCGTGATCTGGGAGAACTGACATGCGTTTTCACTATTCCGGTTAAGGAGGTGCACTTATGTATTTGTTGACGAGGATCCCTTTAGGGACGTATATAAAATAACTGGTGTTACCGCTGTACAGCAATTCCACTTCTTGTTTTTTTTTTTTTTTTTTTCCGCCATCTTCAGAGCTGTCCAGCCTCTCAAAACTGCAAGAAAGAGAAACATGTCTTGTCTAAACCCAGTGGTGTATTTTTAAACCTGCATGTGACAGTATGATAAATCAGCTCTGCCGTTTGCCAGAAACCAGCAGGAATCCGACCTTGGATGAGCGGACCTGCAACTGCCTGATTTGGGCAGCAGGGGACGAGCGTTTATCTCGGCTCACAAAGTAATGGAGCAAGTTTTCTGCGTTTTGAGCAACACGACTGTGCCAGACTAAAAACGCAAGCGAAGCTCTTCAGAAGAAGTCTCACTTTCGTTTTTACCGTTTCATCCATTTCCGACCCCAAATTAAGAACTTCCAAACACACAATGTACTTAGCTATTTTCTGCCCCCTATAACTCTAACCACGTATCTCTTTCACACAGTATCACACCATCTGGTGTCACAGCAGGTGACTGACCTGTTCCTGGGCATTTAGGTGACACTGATTAACCCTTATTCTCAGGGTAGAACTATGTTTGTTAAGTCCTGCTGCTCTCAAATTGCTGGCCACACTCCAGTCAACCTCAGAGTTCAACATCCAGAGGACCCACTCCAGAGAAATTACTGTACTCTCTGGGCCACCTTAGAAGGGGTGGGTCGAGGATTGTTTAAGGTGGGGGGGGGGAGACATAAGAGGGGGTATAATTCATACAGAAGCATACAGAGGGACCAACCTTATCATTAGCCAATGACTTGTTTTGAATTGTTGAGTGACAGGGGAAAGGGGCACTTCAGGGGCCAATCAGCTTTCAACTAGAGTGGGTGCCTCTGTGGCCCCGACCCTGTATAAGAGTCCCCAAGTGTCAGCTTCTCATTCCTTCCCTTTGTCTTCCTCTAACCTTTTATCCCCAGGAGCTAATGTAGAATTGTCTGTACTTCAGTCCGGGGACCACAAGCTGCACAATGCCACACTCGTGGGCTGTGTAGACAGCTGTGAGCTCATTGCTGGAATCCAGCATCCCCTGATCTGCTGCATGGAGGACCCTGCCTCAACCTTGAACCACAGTCACTGCATCCTGTGTGCCTTGGGCTTTGAGAATGCATCCATTAATGTTACGCTACTGTGGACGCACACGCAGCACGGTAGGGCGCCTTCTCCTGGCCACCGTGCCCCCGATGTTAGCGGGACTTAACAAAAGTGTTACATGTCCCTGCTTAACGTCTGGAGGGCTGGTGTTTGCTATTCCCTGGTTTACGATGTAAAACACCTTGTAACTGGGCTAGTACCTTAAGCAGGGTGTTTGACCTGCATAGCTCCAGTAAAATATTCAGATGTAGCTACAGTGGTTGCTCTGGATGCAGCACAAGGAGAGCAACTCAAGTTCTTTAAAAGGCTGCATCCTATAAAAGCCCCAGACTTGGTCCTGGTGTGCAGAACCTCTCCCCTCCAAGGGCTAATCTTTAGCCACAGAAACTTCATGAACCATTTGCTGTATTTTTGACCCCACTAGATGGCGCTCTTTTTTTGCTTTGGGGCATGTTTTGAGCCCTGTTATTAGCAGAGAGCACCATCTAGTGGGGTAAGAAAACACAGCAAACGGTTCATGAAGCTTCATTTGGCCATCACTACTCATCATCATTCTGGGGAGTGGTAGAGCATCTCTTCCGCCTTCTGTGTTCATAGGCTTCTTCTGGTCGTGCTCCTACCGGCTGGTGTGGCTCGCCATAGTGATGACTGTCATCCTGCTGGTCATCAGCACCACCACCAGGCACGTCCTGAAGAACCGATTCTATAAAAGTGAGTGCTGACATCTCACAGGCTTCTCTAGCTCAACCAGTAGAACATTGGGCTGACAACGCAAATACTTTACCAGTTAGAATTGTGCACCTGATCCGGTCCCACTCACCAACTTCCTCCTTTTTACAGGGAGGGCTGCAGTTCTCCCAATTACTGCGTACCAGCTGTCTCCGGCGCTACCGGGACCTGCCGGCCGTCTGGATAGTCAGCTAGGCCAGTATACAGTTTGTAAGCAGCTAGGTAAATTTCACCGTCTTCCAGGTTCTCTCCGAAGCGGGCAGCTGTTCTGGAGACTGATGATGCCGTGTTTCTCAACTGGTGGGTGGTGAAGTGTGTGGTTAAAAATAAATTATGGCCTCCACCATCCCCACATCACTTCCATCGGTTGACAAATTTTCTTTTGCCTCCAAATGCCCCCGGGTCGTGACTTAATGACCACGGATGAGTGGTGAGGCAAAATCAGCTAACGACCAATGTGATAATTAACTCAGCTGGAACAAATCAAGTGTCTACCCCCCTGGGGAGAAGCCAACAGCACAAAGATACATTTTAAGAGGGGAGGGAGACCAACCGATATTGATCCCCCTCTTGTTGTGTTCTTGTCCTCTCAGCACAAATTAGCCCCCTGACCCGAGCCAGCAGTCCAGCAGGTACGATCTCGCTCCGATGCAGTGATCCCCCCCCCGCCAGTGCTTATACTCCCTCACACTGCAGTGACAGGTGCCCCCAGCACAGTTTTCTCACTGTTTATTTACAGAAGCACGTCGGCACCTCTGCTGACAAGCATGTGGCGTGTGTCACTCTCTGAACTCGCTTGTTAATTTGCCGTTGGATTTCTCTCTGCTTTGACTCGCTTGTTAATTTGCCGTTGGGTTTCTCTCTGCTTTGACAGCCCTCTCTACGATTTGCGAAGCTGAGGAGACAGGTAAATGTCCTTCTTAACCGTGTGGAAACATCTGCAGTAGAAGAACTAAAAAAAACATGCTTGTTTATGCATTTGAAGGGAAAACAAAAACTATACAATTACTTTATTTAGCAGATGCTTTTGTCCAATATGATATAAAATTGAAACTAGGATCAACTAGTCCCTGGAGCAGTGGGAAGTTAAGGGCCTTACTCAAGGTCTCAGTGATGACATCACTCAGGGGGATGTACGCTTGCATAGGTACAGAATCCAAATCCTCAGCCGCATAGCACCATCTCATATTCAATTCTATTTGAATAGAGTATTTTAACAGTATTACATTGTCTCAAAGCGCCTTACATTATCCCTGCCAAAAGCCTCCAGTGAGCAAGCCAGAGGCGACAGTGGCAAGGAAAAACTCCCTAGGAAGAAACCGTGGGTGGAACCAGACTCAAAGGGGGGGGGCCCATCCTCCCAGGGCCAACAGAGGAAATCAAATTAATTAACAAAGTCCCGATTTATACACTCAAACTTTAGTCTGGTTGTAAATGCCGGATCACTGGCGGCAGGGCAGGCAGGAAGGACGGACATCACAGGTTGTAGGGGTGTCGTAGGCAGCAGGGTAGGCAGGATATCTTGCTTAATAAGATAAAAAGAATGAGTCTGTACAGTAGCTGCTTATTGGGTAGTAGTTTAAATTCTCTCATGGCTAATGGCCAATGGTTTTATTTTTCAGAGAGTTTGTGGGCGGAAGGGTAACCGCACCCTCCAGAGATGTTATGGACAAGGAGCTAAATCTGCGTGGGGTTCATTGTAAATGGTAAATAAACAAACCAGCACACTGAAGACAGTTACCGTGTCGTTTTATTTGGTTTTTCAACGAGCAAGGACTTCAGGCACATGGTTGGCAAGGTAAGGCGTCTCAATGAGAGCTGCAGGGCTGCGCATGCGAGGCTCGTCGCTGAAAGAAGCCGCCCTCGGGCGCGGCACCCAGAGAGATGAGAGCTGTGGCCCAATTCCTAACATATCCCAAGATTCACTGCGCGGACCTTCGAAGGACGCAGCTTACAAAGGCACTGCAGACCGCATCCTTAGAAGGATGCAGCCCTTAAACTGGGACGTGGCAGAAGACTGTCCGTCTTGGGCCAAATTACCGGCTGAGTGCTCTGTCGCCTTTTGGCACTTCTGTAACAAACTCGTTTTCGAGTCTTTAAAAATCCACCTACAGCGTACATAAGAAAAATAAGCCACACTATCGATTACCAATGCCACAGACTTGGAGGTACAGTGAGCGGTGAATCAAAGGCAAAACACAGGCAGCTCAGGATGGATCAGTTAATGGTCTTAATATCATCACCTTCATTCTCACATCCACTAAATTTAACATTCAGTATTGATTACCATTAAAATCATAGTGCATTTACGTATTTACCAGGCACTAATATCCAAAGTGACATACAGTTGAGAAAGCAGGGTCAGACAGTCACTGGAGCAAATGGGGATTAAGGGCCTCGCTCAGGGGCCCAGTGGTGACATCACTACGCCAAGTATGGGATTTGAACCTGCGACCTTCTAATCACACTGCCCCCCTCAGTAACTATAGTACTAATACTATCAGTTTGGAGATGCGACCCTCGCAACATCAAAGCTTCACATAGAAATAACTGGAGAACATTAAGAGCATTCAAATCTGCGAGGTATGTTTCCGATTTCTTTAACCAGCATGGTGTGATCGTTTAATTTGTAGCGTAGCGGGTGTTAAATTTGTGGTTAACTGTTTAGAAGCAGACTGGGAAGATGCCTTGTGGAAAAACCAAGAATATTAATCTCCATTATGAAAAAAAGACAAAAGTCATCAGCGGCTGAATGTATTTTGTTTAAATATTTAGCTGTTTGTTCAGAGTTCTGCCAGGGCACAACATTTTAACGACCATCATTAAACATGTAAATCCATGTCATTAACAGTGCTCTAAAACGCATTTCAAAAATGAAAAACTTAAACATTGAGATGCTAATGAACCGGAACACCTCAATGATCTTCACCTCAAGCTTAGGAAAATAACTCAGAACTTATAATAAGTTATAATGATCATAAGGCATTTGACCAGATGCAGCTTGGGGTGCTAATCTTGCGTTCACAGGAGCAGGGCTGACCGAACCGCTTTTTGGGGGCTTGAGCAAAGCTTGATTAACCTAGCTGTCATTTGTTAACTTCCTCCCCAATCTGACACGCTGATCAGACGGGAGGGGGCCCCCTGGTGGCCACTGGGCAGCATAGCTCATTTATGCCTTGGGCCAACTCCACATAGCACACTTTCCTTCTTAAAACGCAGCCGATAGTCTTTTGCTTTTGGCATCAACAAAATTGCATCTGAACACTTTTTCTGTTACTAACCTGGTTAGTTATTACTTAAGGCTACTGACTGCCCAGTTCCTCGCACGCTTGACTCTTGGTTACTGTCTGGATGAACAGCCTACTGTATGTAGAGGATAACAACCGCACACGCACTGAATGACTGAGTGTCCAATAACGCTAATGGGTTAGCGGCTACAATCTGCCGACCAGCTAATTAGCAAAAGGAGACTGAGCGATGCCTTTCGCTTCTGGGCACTGAAGTCAACAGAGGTTCTCATCCACCTCACCCACATGGCGATTACATCCGAACGAGCCGATTAAACGGCATCTGAGCAAATGTCAATTTAAAAATCCGAATTAATCGAATTAATCTTCCGTGTATTAAACGCCATACATATAATTTATGTGCACAGAGACGGATGCTAGCACACTGCACTATGGCATGTTTGCTGTACATTTCGCATGTTGAGCTACGCTAAAGTGCTACAGACACACACACACACACACACACGCACACACACACACAGCAGGGGGAATGTCCGCCTCTTCTGCAGTAGGGCTTCCACCGGCCTCAGCTAAGCCTCCTGGTTTGTTTGGGTCCTGCTGGTCTGGATGTAGGATATCTGGAGGACAGGCAGCAGCAGCTGGAAGGCATTCAGGATGTAGGTGGCGCTATTGGAGCCCTGGAGGAGCGAGAGAGCAGGGATCAGTGTCCGGTGGAGGAGAGCGGCCCTGAAAGTTAGCCCCGTAACCCCTCTGTGATGGCCAGCAGGCCAGAGCGGTGCTTCTTACCTCAAGCATGACACTGTCCACCAGGGGACTGAGCTCCTCTGCCTTCCTCTGATTCTGAGAGGATGAGAGAGAAAGATGGAGAGTTTGGTGATTATACTGCCACACAGAGGCGAAACACAGTAACTGCATATTTTATCGAAATTCAGTTATAACCAAAATCAGGTCTGTTTTACCTCTTAAAAAAAATATGTTATATTAAAAATATATAATATTTTTTGGTAAAAACTTTGCCCGGTTTGAAGATTACAGTAACTACAAATCGACTCGGCAAAGTGACTGTGTTTCTGCCTTGGTTAGGCTGTATTACATCACACACAGCGATGGGTTAACTGGAGCACGACCCTGGTAAGAGTTAAACTGGTCAGAATCAGTGTACACGCTGTGAAGGTCCGCAGAGGGCATGTAGCACTGCGATTGGCCCCCTTACCCCGACGGAGAGCAGGGTGTCAGAGAACTTCTTGGAGAGCCGGCCCACCTCCTTGCACATGGTTTTGGTCAGCCTTGGAGGGGATGGAACATGCAGTGAGAGGAGGAAGGTAGGCACTCAAGCCCAGGTGCGTGCTTTGGGGGGGGCGGGGCCACAAGGCCACTGACCCCAGCTGATTGGCCCCTGGAGTGGCCCCTCCTCTGTCACTCACCAATTCAAAACAAATCATTGACCAATAATAAAATTAGTCCCTCTGTATGAATTATGCCCCCACATTGGTGACTCCAGGCTTTTCTCGAGAGCGATGCAAGGTGAGACAGCCCAACCGGTCATTCATCCAAATAAATTTGTAAAAAAGATAGTAAATACATTTGCAATTAATTGTTATTATACACTAATATGAGTAACACAAGCCACATTTTCAAATATAACTTCAAAATATAACTGAATTTTATATGTTCAAACAGCATTTTCATCAGACCAGTAGGGGGTGCAGTTGCACCGCAGACTCACCTGGCGAGGACGAGGGCCTGCTCCTGTGCCGGCTTCTCCACGTCCTGCCCGTGCAGGATGAGCTCGGCCACCTTGTGCAGCTGCTCGATGCTCCGCGCCGTCACCTCGGCCAGGCTCCCCACGGAGGACAGGTACGCGGCCTGCGGTGTGCACACGCGCGCACGCTCAGCCAGACGGACGCCCTCGCACGAGTGTGACGCGAGCGAATCACCTTGGTTGGTGAACATGGTATTCAAGATCTGGACCATGGTGGGAACATGCCTGACCTTCTGCTGGGTGGGAAGCTGCTGCCCAGAGGCACCAAAGGCTGTTACCAAGGGTACGGGAAACGGTAACTAAGGCGATTACACTATAATTTCCCTAACTTGCCCATATACTTATGCCCCGCCCCCGCCCCCACTGCAAATTCAGTGTCTCCAATCACAAACGTTAACAAGGCTGGAAGCTCCTCACAGCCTCTGGGTTCCTCCATTCAGAGGCACCATTCTTCTGGGTGTCTATAGAAGCCCCTTTGTTGACTGGGATCCAAAACAAAGCCCCGTTGATTTGAGCACATTGGTGCCTTCCCAACATGGCGTTAGATGGTGGTCTGATGACCCTGTGGACCTCTGCTCTGGTTTTAACGTCAAAGAAACTTTTGTTCTATGACCCTAACCCAAGGCCAGGGGCTGTCATGCCCAGCTCCCCATCAATAGATGAGACATGGATTCCTCACCTCCAGACATTTAGAGCTGCTCTCCCCTTCTTGGTTCTCCTGCCCTCCGAGGCCCGCGTTGGGCTCTGGGCTACCGCTGGGCTCTGCCTCCTCCACAGCCTTGCCCATGCTGGGCCTCTCCACCTCCCTCACCCAGTCGCCAGCCCTCACCCAAGCCTGCGGAGGAGGCCGGCATGGGTTCGTCATCACCTGCCCCGTGCCAACTGCTACCATTGTTTTTTCTCGCAAAAATGTCAAGTTTTTGTGTATGACAAGTCATTGTGAATTATACAGGTAAGAACCTTAATGCATTTTATTCATGAAAGACCAGCTGACAGATGAATTGGGAGGATAGGTCTGGTGCATTCAGGAAACAAACGCACACGTACACACACACACGCAATGAAACAAGCGACAACAGAAAGACATGTTTAGACAGACAACGGTCAAGGCAGATGGACTATGAGGTGGCACCTTGTTGAGCTTATCTGGCGTAGCGGCGATGTGGAGTTCAAAGAGCAGGTCGGTGAGTACGGTGACAAACTCTGAGCCATCGGCAGCTGAGGGGACACACGCACACACACACACAGATGACCTAATGAACATTTAGCTTTGAACTGCCCCACTTAACACAACCAAACCAGGTTGTCACACCAATTTAGAATCACCCGAATTACAAAGGACACCCATGCGCTGTCGTCCACAGTCTGATCACGTCATTGTCATTGCATCGTAGGAATCGCTGGGCACTTCAGGTTGGACGGCCTTGACTTACAGAAACAAGTAGGACATTCAAAGATTGAATATAGGTCACCATTTTCTTCTGCTTCGTCTTCCTTCCCAGAGTCCTTCTCCACAAAAATGTCCTTGATGGTGATCAGCTCTCTCTTCAGGACCTCTAATGGCTCCCCCTCCAGAGAAGAAAGCTCAG